TTTGGAAGTGAAGTTAAACACTTAGACCTACTTTATCTTCTCTATATGAATCAAAAACCTTGAAGAAAGGAAGCTGGAGGGAAGATAATGGCTGAGTTCACAGTGGGTGGGAATTAACTTCCCAAGATACTTCAGCTGTTATCACATAAGACAAAGAAAAATGGTTACCTAACCTAAATCCATCACAAATCTTAGAGAATATGGTGAGCACCACGAAGTGCACTGAGAAATGTGCAGTAAATCACTGCAAAACATGGCGTTTTCCTGCATTCTGCCTTGCTGAGACTATCTTGCTTGAAATATTCCCCAGCATTGCATTTTCCACTTCACTTTATCTACTGAAACTTTAAAAGCACTTTCCCCTAGTTAGAATTTTAGTTCCTCTCCCCCTTTTATATATGTACATCCTCAAAGACATCAGGAGGATCGCCAGTGCCTTACATGAGCTGGCTACATAAATCTATTTTATTAGCTAAGGCCATGCTGTTCTGCAGTGGCCATTTCATAGGTCTATTTCCCATCTCCTCCTCATCACGTTATACAATCTCACTTGAAAGATTTTTGTATTTTTCATCCCAAGAGAATTCACCTCAGTAAACTTCAAGGAAGAAGCTAGAGATCTGGAGAACACCTTTTCTACCATAAGAGACATAAGAGTGCCATGCACTCTAGAAAAATCAATCTATTTTATTCAGCCATTATTTTCTAAAATTCAGAAGAGAATTTGCACTCAGTTTTACAAATTCCTCATCCTGTTCTTATTTTCTTATCAGTTGGAATTTTGTGTAAGACAAACTGAGCTAAAATTCAACCATATCTCTGAGTTTCTTTTGGATTTTATTTGTGATTTTTCACTAAGGAAAACCTCTCATTAACTCAGTGATAGAATTCAACTGCACTTCCCTTTTTTAGCCTCCATTAAATCATCAGCTTGATAATCAGGAAATATTATTAGATTCAAATCCCCATAAGGTGTCTGTCTTCACTTTCTAACCACCAAAGTCTATACAGAGGATGGTTCCTATAGCTGTTTTTGCCTTTTAACATTTATCCAACACTCCTGAGCCATCACAGTCATACAACATGAAGTTCTGCCTGCAAATACATTATAAATTTTGGGTCTTGTTCTTCAGTTCGTGATCTCAGCTTCAGAACAGAAATCATTTCAAACAGTGTCTTGGTATGAACTCAGTAACACTGTATAGGGGTTTGGTAGAGAGTGTTTCAATGAGGTTACCCCTTAATGCTGTAATTCATGAGCTGGCCTTAATCCTGCCATGGTACAGTTTACATGAGATTTATATGTCAGTTTATATGATTTAATGGAGGTGAATAGTTCACAAAGTTTAGATTAAAAGGCTCATAAACATTGATTAACATAGGTTATAAGAGTGAATAACAAACAAGGGCTTCTCATTTCTACCACATTCACAGAGATAGATCATCACAGAGAGAAAAAAATATAGCTCTGACTTTACCAAATAACTGATAGTAGACTCCACCATGTTGTCCCAAAACAGGAGAGCTAGCAGGCTAAATATTCAGGCTATCCTCAAACATTTCATCAAACCTTTTCCAGCTCCTGAACCTACTCAGCCGTGTCTTAGCTGATGTACTCAGGAGATTGTTCCTTTTCAATAAAACACTAGTTCTTCCCAGCCTCAAATCTCCTGAATACCAACAAAAGTACGTCTCAGATGTATCTCAAACAGCAATACTTGAAGAAATGTTTACTTGAATAATTAGGCTTTCAGTGGATACACTTAGACATCATTAAAATGGCTTATTACTATACTGATGCTGGTCAGCACAGAACTGAAATGTTGGACTGTATGTGTGAGTAACAGGCTAGGCTGCAATGAATCTCAAAGCATATTAGAGGATGCAAAAAAGATTGATAAAAGTATCATCTCCAAAACAGCATAACACACTCTCAGCTGCTGCTTCTGCAGCGCTTCTGCAGTGCTTTAGAAAACACTCTGGAACTGTTAACATTTGTGCAGTTTTTAAGGTCAATGATGCTGACAATATTATGTGTCAGATGCTTTACTGCCTTAAAGAAAGTACAAATAAAACTCAGCTGCTAGTTCACAAAACATACAGAATCATAGCTAGAAAAAAATCAACCAGGAAAGGAAACATTTTTTTCCATGAGTGGTTTTATCTACCATCAGACATATTGCAAGGTCAAAAGGTGGCTTTTTCTTTGATCCTTAATCCTTTTGACAATGAGAGCCAGAACCACTTCTATTTCTATGGAATCATTTATATGCATCATTTGTGTTCTTATCATAGTCACAGCGTTATTACTGGTAATTCTCTGGAATCACAGAATCAGAGAATTGCAGGAAGGGAACTCAAGAGGTCATTGAATCCAACTCCCCAGCTAAAGCAGCTCCCTACAGCAGGTTGCACGGGTCGGCGTCCAGCTGGGTCTTGAATATCTCCATAGAAGGAGATTCCAGCACCTCTCTGGGCAGCCTGTTCCAGTGCTCTGTGATCCTTACAAAAAGTTGTTCTTCTGCACGTTTGTATGGAACTTCCTATGTTCAAGATTTAGGCCATTGCTCCTTGTTCTATCACTGTGCACCACTAAGAAGAGCCTGGCCTCATCCATTTGCCTCTCACCTCCCACCCTCATCAATCCCACACTTTCTAAGTTTCACAAAAAGGATATTGTGGAACGTCCAGGGGAACACTTCAATGACCCAGAGAGGGCTTGGGGCAGATAATAACACGATGACGTATCAGGCATCTATATACAGTATCACCACTGTCCAAAACCTTAAAGGACTGTTATTTGATAATTTAATAGCTACCACAGCCCTGTCTTGTACCATCATTTGCAGAAGTGGGATGGAATTGCACTCTTTCTGACGACAGCTTATTACAAATTCTCATCCATGTTGTTCAGATTCCATTTGGAAAGCAAATATTAACACACTGATGCAGTAGGAAGTGGACTTCATGAACTCATTTCACACATAGGCCACCAATGTATGGTTTATTTTATCTCTGGATGAAAACTCACTATCCCATCCAATGCATCTACCAACCCTTACAAAACAAACAAACAAACAAACAAAAAACCCCTCAGTAAATTCCAAAAATAAACACAAAATAGATGACAACATACCAAACATGTTACATCCATCCATCCATCCATGCCCTTCCCCCTTCATCCTAACAGTAACTGTCTGATATGAGGACATGAGGACACAGCGAGGGTCATCCAACTGCAGTGCCAGTTTTGTTTTGCTTGGTAGACTTAGCAATGCTGTAGTATGACCTGATTGAATGAGGCTACAGCAGTACAACTTTTCCCCCCAAAATCAGCACTAGAATGGCTGAAGTACTGATTTGGTGTAATCTCATCTCTAACAGAACTGTATGTGTGCTAATAGGGAAAAAAAATATTTAAAAATGCAGAATGTTAGTCCTAGTACATCTGTTCTAGAGAAGTCATTTAGAAAGCACTGATTGGGCAAAAGCATGATTTCACCTGCAAGTGGAACACAGTGGATATTTACAGAACTTGCTTCTAAGAAGTTCAATCTTTCAGCTGATCAGAATGCCAAGTCTGCCTTGATGCTGATGAGATGAGCCAGGACCTTGGCAGATATCACTGAAGTTCATTCAGATGTAAGATGCTAGAAATACAGAATTTGCCATTAGTTGACATTTTCTGCAGTAACTTTCAAGCAGAAAGTGACAGCTATTCTGCAAGCACAAATCTGAGTCAATCTCATGTGTTCTGTAATGCCAGTGTTTTACAAGATGATCTGAAGTCCCTTTTTGATTCAGTTCAGGCATGAATTAAGCCTTGAAATTCATTTATACGTGATAACTGCTAGAAACTAATTGTGGCCTTTCACCTTGAAATTTTTTTGTGCTGTTGTTTTTCCCAGTCATATCCCTATATCTGGACCTGTCTCACTGCAGAGAAAAACTGCAGATCACGCTGCTTTTGCTTTGGAAGCTCCAGTATTTCCTCTCTGAATGAATATATCCTAGTCAGTTTTGTTCTATCTTGAGCTGCTATTCAATTCTTAAGCATCAAGCAGTGTAGATGGTGCAAGCTCAATGGCTTCAGGGTCCATACATCTGTTACTCCTGTGACTGCTGCTGAAGCATAGAGTCCGGGTTGGCAGATGGAAGATTTGCCTTTGAGGAGAAATAGGTCATATATCAGAAAGTAAAAATAGAGAAACAGATGCAGTCTTTCTTCCCCAACAGACCGGTATTTACTCAACAATACTCTTAATAACTGAAGGAGCAGCTACTTGAGAGCAGTTCTCCATACATGATGGAAGATAGCATTGTCTAGCAAACACAAGAGTGCAAGAGATCTGATGACACAGGTCTCAGCCAAGGTACAAGCCAAGGACGCAGTGGTGAGGAGCAATAAGCAATTAAGGGGGTTCAGTGTAAATGTTTTGCTTGGGACATACTAAAGTTTTGACTGTTAAGAGAGTAATTTTCTTTGGGAAAGCTCAATTTCTACATGTGCTTTATTACTCCTCTGCTTTATTCCAGCTTGTATTTTTACCACAGTTAGTCCATTTACATGCAGTTACTGGGATTCCACTGGCTTTTTTCACCCAAGCACTGTCCTCACAGTGACTGTGCTGTTTGTTCTCATCCCCAGTCAGCTCCCACACTACTCTGAAGGAAGAATTCTAACCTCACACGTCAGTCAACTCCAGCTAACACAAAGTGAATAAGAGAGAAAAGGCAGTAATAGAAGCACAAAGATATAACATGCAATAACATGCAGGAGCTAGCACAGGGCACCTCTGATACCAGGCTGAACCTAATCTTTAAGGTGAGCAGCAATGGCACATTTATGTTCGTATGGCTAGTGAGGAGGCAACGGTAAGCTGTAGTTAGAAGAAATCAAAGGCACTTAACAGTTAAAATGACATGTAAAGTTTGGGAAATTATAACTGAGGGTGCTACAGTAAAGGAGGGTGGCGAAGGTGAGAAGGAACAAGTCATACATCTCATGGTAGAAGGTTGCAAGTTTTTTGAAGAACTACTGAGAAGCCTCAGTGGAGGACGTGGTATAGCTAAAATAGCTTGAGTTTTCCGAGTAAGGGAAGGCAACAGTTCAAGATGCTTCATCAAAACTGACTCAAACCACCTTGTTTTAAAGAAGTAGAATTGCATGCAGTGAGTGCTTTTCTATTCTTTGCACTGAACTCATCCTCCCCACCTACTTAAATGAGCCTAAAACAACTGATGAACTGCTCAGGGATGCAACATAGTTGTAGATAGCACAATTACAGCAACAACAAAGAATTGGGTAAGGTTCATAGTAGCTCCTTTAAAGACAGCAAAAGAACATACTGGCCTATTTAGTGGAAAAAAGGTGGCTAAAGTGCCGAGGGGGAAGGTAAATAATTGCTCAAAGCAACACTGAGAGTTTGCCTTAAAACAGCAGCAGCTGACCTTCTCCAAAAAGCTGCAGTTCTGCAGCAACTGTGCTATATGCAGAAGTAAAGATTAAGTGCCTAGTGCATACAAAGGTTATGCTGGTAAAACAGGAATGTCTCCACTGGGAGTCTGACTGCTGGGAGGTGGGATGAGAGCAGAACTGCTATTACCTTAAGCAGAGAGGAATCTCAGTATGGACATAAAATAGTAATTACAGGATTAACATCTATTTTCTATGAAGAAGCTTCAGTCTGTCCTACGGTGCTTGCAAAGGACAGGTAAGTTCTTTTTTCTCCTTCCTTCCAAGTATATTTCCATGGCAAGTTTCAAAACACCCAATACTGTACACTCTGCTGAACTCCTCAGATGTAAATGACAACTTCCACAGAATTCCCCTATCATTCCTTTGGAGAATCTTCATGGCTACAGCCATTTATCAGCAGGCTGCATTTATGTTCTTACGAAATCCAGCCAAATGCTGCTGACAACCAATTCCCCCTCTCTCTTCTGCTGCTCCCAAAAAGCCTTTTGGAGTTCTGGTTCATAGGACCGTTCGTGTGGGTCTCAGAGTGTTGTAGTCAGGCAGTCAAGCTTTTCTCTTGACGTAGAAGATGACCTCTGCTAGGTCTATAATTTATTCACGTGACTTTTACTAGCAGGTCCTACAGCACAAAGTTACATCCAGCTCTTCTCACGCTGCTGCTCCCAACTCCTGCATTTATTAACCAGAAAGCCTTCTAAATGTTATCTAGTAGCACAGATTAAGCAGTTTTGTTCTGCGGATCATGTTCCTTAGCTTGCTCTTTCATTTCCTCTCATTCAACATTATCACATTATGTTCCCTCTTCTTATGTGCTTTTCCTCTACACAAAGCTCTTTAAACAGCTGCAAAGGGGGAGGGACCACAATGCTTATGAAAACTCCACTTTGCAGAATGCTTCTGCCAGGTCCTACTGTCTGCCTCTTTCCAGGGATTTAATACCTCCAAAATTCAGGACTGCTTTTACATCTCTTGCTTGTGCAACCCTGACAACAGAGCCTACTGCCAGCTGTCTTAATTGAAGAGCAGTAACCACCTCTTCCTGTTATTGCCATGAGGAATACGTACACTCTCTTTCTCTTTGTAGTGGGCTCCTTCTATTTCAACGGTAAGTGATCTTTTCTTTCACATACAGTTTGCAGAGCAGTGATAGCTTTTGTGGCTGGGAGGTAGGACAGTGATATAAGCTCTCAAGCCGTTTCTACCACTTCAGTAGCTTGCAGACTTTAAGAAGATGCATGAAATATATTGTTTAGTGTTGTTTCTGGCACATTAGATAGCAGCAAATCCACTGTTGTGGATATGTAGACAGTAAGTTGGAGATAAAATGACAGAGTAGTAGGAGATTGCAGTGATAACCACTAAAGAATGCTCCTTTCGATTCTTCCACGATCATCTGTGACAGGAAAAGCAAGTAGTGACAGAGAAAAAATAAAAATGGAACTAGGACATAAGCCATGAGACAGATCTTCTCTACAATTATTCACCCAAGTTCATGTATTTTGCTAAGTTCTTACTTCCTAATTGTTTGATTTGTATGTAACTAGTGATTAAATCAAGTTGTAATATATAAATACATGTTAAAAAATATAAACGCCTATTAAGACCAGGTTTTTTTAGCCCATCAGCATTTCTTGCATTTGTTTAAGCCAACACGCACAGCTCAGAAGCAGCACAGAACATTTACCATGGGAGCATCTTCCACAGGGCGACTCCACTGAAGGGTCTGGAGCGAAACCGAAACTGAATTAGGACAAAATCACATCTTTCTCATGTTTACCAATTCGACCCATGTTTTTCCTTCTTCAGTTACTGAAAGGCAGCTTTTGTAAACATCTGCTATGGAACCAGAGCGAGGGCCTACCTTAGATTACATATTTTTAAACTCATTAGCATTTCCTTGTTATTCCCATTAATTGCAGTGGGAAAATTAAAATAGTCTTTACAATAAAATGAATTCACTGCTGTTTCCATTGGAACAATAAGCATTCCAAATTAGTGCACATTACTGTAAGACACTATATTAACCTTTTTACTCGAGTCCACTGAAAAGCAACAACATCATTAAGTGATTTTGGAGAAGATAAATGTTATGCTGTTGCTGCATCCCACTTGCTATTTCCTAATTACAGATGGGAATTTGGTACGTCACCACTGTTGGCATAAATCATATGTGATAGAGGAAAGAGCAAAAATGACAGTCTGTTGTACAAGGTATTATTTCTAAGCAAATATTATTTCAATGGTTATTAAAATGTCTGGTCAGGGATATGGGGAAACATGGCTTATGTTAAATGTTACCATTTAGACAGTGATAACTGTGCACATGCCTGTATCTATCAACATTGCTCCATGTTCTGTTCTATTCACACCTAACACATTTGTAATGTCACTATGAAAATAAGCAATGGAGCACAGCCTGAAGAGATATTTCATGTTTTATATATAAATTAGACCATGTAAATGGTAAAAATTACACTGGGTAATGAATCAAATCTGGTTTTGTTTCTTCTATTGGGAAACCAGAAGCATCCTGGAGCAATTTTTTTAATGGTCATAACTCCCACACAGAATACAAACTTACTGCAGAATCTGCACTGCAAGCTATAGGCAATGGGCTCTCCTTGACATGGAACAGATGTGCAGCATGTTCAGTGAGGCTACAATTTCTTTAGCTCAGGATCCACTCTGGTACTTTTTCCCAATTAGTGCTTCCAGTACACAAATACAGTCTACCCCCAGATGAAGGCTGCTTCATCAGTCTTGCTAAGGTCATCTGTCCAAAAGCATCATTTGCTCCCTGTAACATTTCTGTTGATGACTGCTACTTTGGGGAGGAAAAAAAAAAAGAATTTATGAGCAGAAAAAAGTGCACTTGCATTTTTTCCAACTCTGAGGAGAAAAACATTGAATTCCAGTGCAATCAATGAACATCATGAAATGCACAAAGGACAAACCTGAATGACAGGTAATTTTGTTTTCATTAGGTGACATCTGGTTACAACAATATTGGTAATGGAAAATAGATGATAAAAATGATTCTAGAACCATTTGTTTTTATACTTTATTTACAGGAGATTGGACCTAGCAGCCTTTAAAGCAGTGCATTGCTGACATCTAGTGGTATTGGATATAAGCACCGAATTGAAATATGAAAGCAGCCCTTTTGATATTCTTGATGATTAAGTTATGGAAAGGCTGGGATGAGGTGGCAGTTTTGAATAGAATAACCCCTCACTGTGGGAGCCCCTTCCCTAAGAACAGAGAGGAGTATCTCCAAGGGATTCATTATTTAACAAACCATTTTTATAATATGTGGTGGCAATTATTCATCTGCACGGTTTATTGACAGTGAAAACAATTCGAACAAGAATTCACTCTTTGCTAGCAGCACTCAGTGAGCACTGTATGAAACAAACCAACGACAATCTACTTATATTTGAACTGCAGCAGTCTGCTTATATCAGTTACATATGCAGCAGCACGATTTTTGTTGAAGAGACCACAAACAAGAAAAATAACTAACCAAGATTCTCTCTGTAGCTACCACAAGGCTTTTCAGCTAGCCTTCTAAACACAAAATGATCCATTCTTGGGGTGCAGTCCCACTTTCTACATAGTATCAAATTTAGCTCCATCTTAATTGCAAAACACAAGGAAAGAAAAACCAACAGAATCTGGAGCTTAGCGAGGATCAGCATAGCTCTAGCTTGATAAGCCTTTGATTAGGGAGGCTTACACTGAGAATGAACATAATATTAAAATATTACATGGTACAAGGGCTTTTATAATGACTTGGAAACAAGTGCAAAGCAAGTGTGAATCAGAAAACAAACCAACACAACACTGGTATTCTCCAAGATGGCTTGGGATGTACTTGAGAAGCCTGCTCTGAAGGACGTTGTTATGGTTAAGCACGTGTGGCACAAATGTTTGTGCCATAGCACATACTGCTTTCAACAGAATTAAAACGAGCCTGGTGATCATCTCTTCCTGTCCCCAGAGCTCAAGTGAAAAAGCAGCTCGTAGAAAAATAAAAGATCTGTTTAACAAAGCTCTCTTCCACGTCCCTCTGCTTGCTTACTGGATCATAAACAAGAACTTCTTGTAGTATTTATTAATCTGAGTGGAATTCAGAAGTATCTAATCTCAAGAGGGATTTGTGTCTCTCCTGGAGCCCAGTTCTCGTGAAAACTAGACATTAAATTGCACATAGACCTTGGCTGCTTACACACACCTTTCTGGTCTTTCTACATCTGCCTTTCTCTGGATCTCATGGATATGCTACAGCATAAAAAGCACAGTAAATTTAAAACACTTGTATGTGGTGTTTTACTGAGTGGAACTACTCTGGAGAACAATTAAGCAAATATGCTGCAGTGACACTATTCTCATTTCTGCACTTTTGGGGTAGCTCAGTACCCTTTCCTACTGAAGAATCAATCCATTCACTGGACTAGAATCTGTTCTCCAAAACACCTGTGTCCATCCCTGCCAAGTGTATCACACAACACAGAATTACTCTACGTACACAGAACTGCTGCCCTGCAAGGGCTCAATACAGTCAGCAGCAGGTCACCAGGACCATAGGCATCACTATTGTTATGTGGCCAACAGAGGTTTGAAAAGTGTCATCAAAAAGCATGAGTAAGAACATGGAACAGATGCATTTACCTCTGGAGTTGTGCCATAGGTCCTTCTGCTCCATGCAGAATGTTCAGGCTGGTTTGACAGCAGCTTGCTGGTCCCGTATTTTGCAGTTACCGAACTCCAGCCTCGACCGTCTAAGATTGAAATATCTCTGCTAGTCCAAATCAAATCAGGGTTTTTTTTCTCCACATGAAGTAAGGCTTAGATTAGCACTTCTAATTTCCATACAAAATCATTGTGAAACAGAAACATTGCAGCCTACCAAAGAGCATGCTATCACTGTGACTTCTGCAGCTCACCTTGATCGCTCTTTCAGTTTCTAAGTGTAACTGCAATCATTTTTCTGCCTCTTATGACAATGAAGAGCGAAGTCACACCCAGACTCCCTTCACTGAGATCTTTGAAACTCTCTTTCTCTGCTGATAAGAGCGTGGATTTGCTTCTGCTTTGCAACTGAGTTCCCAAAAGTACCTGTCAATCTGAGCTTTACCTCATTCTGTGCAAAGAAACCCACAGCGCCCTGATTTACCTGCTTTAATCTGTGCTCTGTGACAGACAGCCCACTTCAGCAGGATGTTGGTGCAAGCACCATTCCTTCTGTTCATGCAAGCCTACAACAATCTTTAAGAAACCAAAGGCCCTCATTACTTCATGAAAATGATGTGACACATAGGAATTCTGTGATCGCCACAGCTTGGCCCTTGGTGTCCCTTCTGTAACCCCATATCTGATGTCTTACAGGAAGCACTGCAGCAGATGCTGAGGAAAAGCTAATGAACCACCTACTGAGTCCTGACAGGTACAACAAGTTAATTCGCCCAGCTGTCAACTCATCCCAGTTGGTATCTATAGAACTGCAGGTTTCCCTGGCACAGCTCATCAGTGTGGTAAGCTCAAATTAAGCTGTTCCTTTTTAACTCATTACTATCTGCACAGCATATAAGTAAAAGTCAGACTGTTGTTACCTGTCCTATTATTTTATAATTTACATAATATTTGGTAGGCAGGGCCCATAAGCAATAAGGACAGAGCCAGATCTTCATCCAATAAAATCCCACTGTTCAAAAATCAAAATCATGCTATTAACTCAGTGCAGCTGACAGAAGTTACACTAGGTCAGGATCTATTCTGTACTGTGTTTGTAATACTAAGCCATTTTTTTTGCAAAATGCAAAATGTGGTTTACTGGTATGAAAACAAGCCAGGAAGACAGCTTAAGATCCCACAGTATATCAGCAAAGCACAGTGAAATGTTACCAAAAGAAAGACATGCTAGTTCTGTCTGGAATAGCTTAAATCAATCATTAAATATCAATCATAAACCATTAAATCAATTCGCATGTAAGCAACTCCCCATCTTCAATAAAATTGACTGCAGAGGGTCTGAAAGACAGTTTTACTCCAAGTTAACATGTGTTTAACAGTCCTTCCAAGGACTGCTGATGCCAAGTCAGGTTTAGCCATTAACAGCAGCGTGAATAAAATCTAGCACGTAAGTGGGAATGATTTCATGAACTGGGGCTTTCAGCTCTGCTGCTCTTTCCTGGGTGAAAAAGATGCAGACAGCTGGTTCTCTGCATGGGCAGGGATCAAGAATGATGCAGTTTAGTCCCTGTCTCCCTGTGCCTTCACTCTTCAGGCAGAAGGCAAAAATAAATGGTCTTATGGGCTCTAAGAATACCAACCATCTTCAGCAGCAAAGAAGTATTTTCTTTTTCTGTAGAAATCTTCCCAATTCTCTGATCTCCTATCTTGTTCATTCAGTAGAACCCCAGATGCACAGATCTGCAGCACAGAAACTTCTGCCAGTTCCATGAAGCAGAGCCTGCCAGCCAACAGCTTTCACGACAAACCTTACATAAACTTTAAACAAATTATTGGGCTCCTGGTGGCCAAAGTGTGCCTTCTGTTTCAAATCAAATCCTCAGGGGGAAGTAAATAAATAAATAAATCAGCCTGTGGGGAGAAATTGTTCCCAAGTAGCAACATTCACACCAGTCACAACTGTTTTTGTCAAAAGCCACTTGGAGCCATACACATGAAGAGCTACTGACAGTACACTGCTGCAATAATATTGAACAACTTTTCCCTCTGTCTTCCCCTGCAGAACGAACGAGAGCAGATCATGACTACAAATGTCTGGTTAAACCAGGTAATAAAACCCACAGAAGCATGCTCTTGCAATCCACAAACACAACTGCTTTCACTCCATCATAGTGATTGTTTTGTTGTCTGGTCTGGATACCCCCATCACAACTGTACAATTCCTCTCTTAGGAGTGGATTGATTATCGTTTGGCTTGGAAGCCTTCTGACTACGAAGGAATAAATATGCTGAGAATACCTGCAAAACATATCTGGCTGCCAGACATTGTGCTTTACAATAAGTAAGTAGAACATCCATAGTTTATGCAGACAGCAAACAAAATCATAATCGTGTATCAAGAAAAAAAGCATCAGAACCAATGAAATAGGTCTTATCAAATTCCAAAGCTAAATTTGGTAACTTATAGCTAGTATCCAGTATATCTGACAGAGGTGTTTGCCTACAAGACTTCAGCAAAACAAAGTCTTAGAGATTCCAGCAGACCTGGGCCATGTCTGCAGCATGGGTTGTTACAACACCAGAACATCCATGAGGAGGCTTACAGCCGAGACACAAGTCTTTATCAGATTAGATTACATGGCAAGCATGAGCTATAGATACAAGCACAGCTGCACACTGACCACGTTTCCAAAAAGCCATTTCTATCCCATACTTTAGGCACTCGGCTACGTTTTTGCCTCCTACTTCTTTTTCTGTCCTTTCAACACAGACTCCAGGTCATAAACCTGTTACAAAGTCACAGGCATCAGAATTCTGCCAGTTAACATTCATTTTCAAAACCAGATTATGTTCTGTTTTCATAAAGCATTCAAAAATCGATTCCAAAATTGATTATAAGAACATATCATGAATCTGTTAACATTTGACCCTGTTGCTTCACAGCACTAAGAAAAAGAAAAGCTTGGTAGTAGAATAGTCCAATACTGCTTTTCCACAACAAATAACTGCCAATTTTTGTGTCTGTTTGGTTTAAGTCTGTAGCAGATCCATGAAGTAAATGATATCAAGTCTTTAAGAAAAACAAACAAGAAGCAAAACCACACAATAACTGAAATGTATAATGCAATGTCATGATACTTTTGAAAACCAATGAATTCAAGAATACATAATGGTTTACTAACATGTACAGATGGGAAATGTAGGAAGTTTATATATATCTGAATTAAGTCCCTGGAATCCTACTGCTGGAGATGAGCTTAGAGAAATATTTAAATACCAAAAACTACTGCGTTAGTCACAAAATAATTCAGCCAGTGGATTAGGATGTATTCTGCCCGCTCAAATCTTGTTCTGCTGAATTGTGACACTGCCCTCTGGCTTCTTTCTTCCATATTCCCCAGATGGTAATGCTTAATGGATTGTAGGGGCAAGGAACACTTTTTGAAAGCTTCCTAAATGCACAGAAACGAGCGAAAGCCTCCCCACATCAAAACTTTTACAGCAGTACAAAGATTCAAATTAAACCTTAGATGAAGGATCATCTCCTTCCTACAACTTTCTCCTGCAGAAGCAGTGTTTCATAGGCATCAGACACAGAGCCAAGGGCAGCCAGCAAAAGTTCACACATACTGTCAGCCCAGAAGTCTACCCACTGTGTCATATGCCTTAACTATAAATCTAAGTCAGGGAGACAGAGTATGCCAGAAAGATATCGTTTATTTACTAAAAACAAACAAACAACACCAAAACAGACAAACAACAACCCACAGAATGGCAGAAAACTAACGACTCCTAGCACTGTTGCCATTTGCTTCTGCTTCTGGTTGTTCCACTGCCTACTGAACCAGCCACCATGGTCTCACCAGCAGCAGGAAGCCTTTGCACAGCCAAACGTAACTGATCTGGAGAGCAGCAACACAGGTGCCAAGCCTTGGATGCTTGTAGCAATTCCTTGCTTAGAAAGGTCAGCCTCAGCACCAAAACAGCTATTTTAATGACACTGTTTTACTACCTTCTAAGGAGCAGATGTCCCACTGCAGTAAAGGGCCCTAGTTAATCACAGCCAGTTGATATTCACTGGTTTATGCTTTGATTTTTCTCTTTCATTTTTTACACTCAACACATTGTCTCTACATTATATACATGTATTTAAATATTATCTCTAGGTTACGCACATTTCTTTACAACTGCATTTGTTTATCAAAAAGAGATGGGATGTATCTCGTCTAGACTCATTTTTGCAGTCTAACAGTGCTAACCCAGTGTCAATAAAAGCAGTTGCATTTCCTCAAATGTCAAGAAGAGTCACTGACAGCTGCTCCTCCTTGCTGCAGTAATTTCCTTTGGTATTAAGATTGGCTGAGTGTGAAAGGTGTTGCACAGCACATCTGGAATAATACACTGAACGTGCTCAGAAACATTAGATTTCAAGAATATTCCTCAGCAACTGACCACTTTGAGTTACTGCCTGGGGACACTTGGTGGGTTAAAAACCCCCACGTTGCTTGCCCAGAAATAGTGGACAGGAAACCACTCTGAATGCTGACTGACAACAATCCTCTCCCTGAACTAAAAGGCCCATCATAACACAGGAGACTCTCCTGGGGAAGTGCAGCATTTGGAGGAGATACAAAGCCAAGATCATTTGTGGGCATTAAGAACTCCGTGGTTTGTCTGTCCTGGTTTTGTAACACGCAAACATTAACTGGAATGATGTGATAAATTATAAACCACATAATTACATTTTCTCTGCCTGCACTCTCCCTGCATTTCCAGCTAACTGCTCATCCCTATTTCCTTGTCTAAGTCATTTGGGAGTGTTGCTGTGTGCTCCTGGCTGTGGCTGTGTTCCTAATCAAAGGTACCTCCATTTTCATGCTGAATGATCCCATTTTTACCCAGCTTTCAAAGATGCTACAAGCCTTAATCACTTTAAGAAATATTTCCACATGCTTTGAGTTCTTTGGATAAAATGTGCACTTTTTTTTTATTTAATAATCATTTTATAAAAATTGTTTACTGTAACTACTGGACAAAATATCAGTTCTCTGTCTGGAAGAAATGCATACATTAATCTCCCTGTCAAATTATATAGCTGCCTACAACGTAGAATTCAATACTGAAACCTTACTAAGCTTTAACTCCAGCAGCTGAGGCCCACAAGGCAAAAACTGACAAAGTTTTTCTGTCTTTAACTTTTCCTCTTAATGTTTGCTGGTCTTCTCTCCTGTTTCTGTCCTGTTTCTTTCATCAGTGCGGATGGTACATATGAAGTTTCGCTATACACAAATGCAATTGTACAGAATAATGGGAGCATTCGCTGGTTGCCTCCAGCAATTTACAAGAGTGCCTGCAAGATTGAGGTTAAGCATTTCCCATTTGATCAACAAAACTGCACCTTAAAGTTCCGGTCTTGGACGTATGATCACACAGAAATTGATATGGTACTTAAAACTTCCATGGCAAGCATGGATGACTTTACACCAAGTGGAGAATGGGACATTGTAGCACTCCCAGGAAGAAGAACTGTAAATCCTTTGGATCCCAATTATGTTGATGTGACGTATGACTTCATTATTAAAAGGAAACCTCTTTTTTATACCATCAATCTTATAATTCCTTGTGTGCTAATTACATCCTTAGCCATCCTGGTGTTCTACTTGCCCTCAGACTGCGGCGAAAAAATGACCTTATGCATATCTGTGTTGCTTGCTTTGACCGTGTTCTTACTGCTGATCTCCAAAATTGTTCCTCCAACATCTCTAGATGTTCCACTGATCGGGAAGTACCTCATGTTTACAATGGTACTGGTGACTTTCTCCATAGTTACCAGTGTCTGCGTACTCAATGTCCACCACAGATCTCCAAGCACTCACACCATGCCTCCGTGGGTAAAGCTGGTTTTCCTTGAAAGACTCCCAGCCTACCTGTTCATGAAGCGCCCAGAAAATAATTCGCCACGGCAAAAGCCGTGCAACTGCAAAAAGACAAGAGCAGAGAATCTCTGCATGGACACAGCTGACTTCTACAAGAACTCGACTTACTTTGTGAACACAGCCTCTGCCAAAAAGTACGACATGAAAATCACTGACACTCTTGACAATGTCAGCAGCCATCGAGATTTTAGGTTAAGAACAGGCACAAAATTTTCTCCCGAAGTCCAAGAAGCAATTGATGGAGTCAGCTTTATAGCAGAGCACATGAAAAGTGATGACAATGACCAGAGTGTAAGTAAACCTCCAAACTTCTTCCCTCGTCCTCCTCTGTAGCATGCTTTCCTTCAGGAAGGAGATTTGCACTCTCTAGCTACCTTGAAGGTTTTCAAGATATTCTAGCTAAGGGTTAAAAAAAACTTAATGAATTTGGTAAATTACTATGACCACACAAAAAGAGAACGCTGATCAGTAAGTCAGGAAACACCCTTGAAAAAGCTGTCTTGTCACCTTCAGGTAGTGTTTGGCAGAGAAAACAGTAATGCTGACTGCCAGGTCAGAGAGAACTCTATTTGAAAATATTTTTCCCCATCATGTTTAGACAGACTGCAACACATCAGCTCACATTAACCAGTGTATCTGCAGCTCAACCTTTGAGAACACCTGAAGATCTCTGTCTCTAATTCAGCAAGACAAGCTGCTATTAAGCTGCTCTGCTACAGCAAACACGATGGGTAGAATCAAAATCCTAACACCAGCAGAACTGATACTTCTTCCATTTGAGTTAAATCACACTTGTTATTGGCTATGAGAAGGACAGGATTCAGGGCACACGTAAGCAGTGCTGCTGCTGTCCTGTTCACATGCTCTACCCGAGCTACTAGGCAGCACAAGACAGCTGGTGCAAACACACCACAGATAATGCTCAGAAATACTCAGGTGGTTCAGAGTTTTGTTTAGATCACAGTTAAGGAAAATTGCCAAGCATCCCCTCTGTCATCCTGCTCAGTCCCAGATCCCAGTAGGACTGTAAGTTCTTCATTCCTGCCAAGCAGACTAAATGAAGCCTGGCTTCTGATACTGCAGAAGTCCCTTAGGAACATGCTGCTGAGTAGTTCATGTTTTCTATTAACTGAAATTACTGTCAATATAAATGAAGATCAGATGCTAACATTCAACACGACCTACACGCATTGAGAGTGACTGAAAAGAAGCACACTTCACAGAGCAGGAAAAAAGTTTTCTAATAGCTCAGAAATCCTTGCAAGAATATGTTGCATTTTAAAAGATCCAACTGAGACTAAGAGCAACTTTCAAGGGTACTTCATGCATTAAAAATGAATAGAATGCTTTTCACACAGGGTCCTCTGATACCACATGTTACTGTTTTATGGATTCATAACCTTAATTTCTGCTATCTTCACGATCACGGTCTGATAACTGTTAGTGTGCATTTACTACAGCCTCATTTCAGAAGTGCAAAATCGCCCTTAGCAGCAGAGGGAATTAGAAGTGTGTGCTGAAGGAAAAATGTGTCATGTTCTAATCTAAGAGACAAGATAAATGACAAAGCATGGCGAAGTCACTGGGGTGACAATGTCCCACGTTTAGTGAGGATCAATGACAGAGGAAAAATAATCATTCTTGAGATGCAAATGAAGATTGATATATTCATCCTTTGCAATGAAAGCCAGAAAGTCACTTCAGTTTGAGAACAGAATCCAAGACTAGCCTTATTTTATCTGTTCCACACACAACACATGTAAAGCCGAGGGGATTTTAATAAAAGCAACAGTATTAATATTCATTAAGTCTCTTGATAAGAAGACTGCCGGTAAGAAAAGTCAGAGGCTAACCTTGTTTAACAGCAATAATTACTCTTTCTCTTTGTCCAAAGAGATTAATAGCATCTGCAAATTGAAATTAAAGAAAAGAATCCTTAATTGGATTACACCGTAGGTCCTTCCGGAACACCAGGCAGCCTTGCCCTGCACCTCACACATCAAAGACAGCTCAGAAATATTTACAGTATTTTTTCTCCACTGCTGGGAACGGCAGCAGGAGAAAAATTCCTTCCCAAGTCTAAAGTCATTTTGTTCCCTGGACCTTGAGGTTTGCTTCCTTTTATTTTCATAAACAAAGACTGCATCAGCAAGAGGAAGAGCAAAATAACATGACAAATTGCTAATATCTTTAACTGGCTTTTTTTTCCAGGTCATTGAAGACTGGAAGTATGTTGCCATGGTAGTGGACAGGCTGTTTCTCTGGATATTTGTCCTTGTTTGTGTTCTGGGGACTGTTGGATTATTTCTGCAGCCGCTCTTTCAAAACCACATCGCTGCCACGAACCCTTAGCTCTTATCTAAAACTGCCAATGCCTACATAGATGCTGGGTCTCATCGTGCTCTCAGTTTCTCTCTGCTAAATCCAGAGATGTCAGATGAGTTGCTCTCCCAGTGGATTTACAGAAGGGATGTGGAAAGCAGCAACATTATTTTGATAGGAAAAAATACATAAGAAAAAAAAAAGAATCATTTTTCCCAATGAGTTCAGTACTTCTGGTGATCTCATGATCTCTGGCTCTTTTTTCAACTCTCTGAAGCCTGAATATTAGAGAAAGACATTTCCTGTATAATATGCCAGCTTGGCTCACAAGGATTATTTATTAAAAGGGTGTTTTATATACATTGCCTCAGGAAAGCCATTTTCTTTCCTTAGAACACTGCAGTTTCCATACTACAAAGAAGGCTTTTATTTCCTCAAATGCATCAGAATGATTTGTGTCTGATTTATACAGAGCTTGGTGGGTGGAATCATTGTTTAGCTGTGTTGACTGTGATATTTAAGACGGAACTGAGAAACAGAGCCATACTTCTGGTTTCTCATTGTGCTGTCCCTGCTAGTAGGTTAATCAACAGAGGCCAAATTAATATGTAATATTAACATTTATACGCTCTGTTCGGTGACAAAATGTGAATAAAATGCAAAAATTCTCCTTTATACATAGTCCTGAGATGTTCCTACAACTTTTAACAGCTTTAAGTGGCATTCACACACACCTTCATGAATCTAAGGCTAACAGTAGAAGAAAGCATCTCTGGGGACAAACCAGCTGTGAAAGGTGGCTACGACACCTGAGAACAAACCTGCATGTTTTGCTGAGGAGATGTTAAAGCAGGTTTAAATACCATCCTAAACAAACACGTGTGTTATAAAAGCACATAGCACAGGTAGTGTGTTGGCAAAGGATGGCTGAGCATCCCACCAAACACCATGATAGCCTACCTCTTCACTTCCACAAAGACAAGCACAGTCCTGATGTTCTTCAAGCTAAACCAACCTCAGCTTCTCCTAGAGGTGTTATCAGGACACACACCAATGTTACAAGCACTGACAGCTACAAATGAATGGTGAACAAATTTAAAGTTCACTACTTGAGCAGCGGATCTGGCTCACCTATCCTGGGGGAGGATTAGCAGACACTTAAAGCTGTCTTCTTCAGCAGGCTGCTTCTGGAGACACCTCTGGCCTGATTTGCTTTCAGTAGAACTTAGTGATGTCCCTATCTAGATCACTGCAGATAATGACACAGATATGCACATGTCACAGAAACCTTCCCAACTTTCAAAGAAATTCCAGGACCTTTGCTGACTTATGTGTTACCTCCCCACCTCTCCCTAGGGGTGGCAATGCTCTTGTCCTCTCCGAGACATTAACTGCTCTGGACGTACCCAATGTGGCCTGGATGAAGGTGTGGAATTCAAAGGGGTTAAATCTGCTTCTCTCACCTCAAATGTCTAATCTTAAAACTAAATAGCACAGCTGTTTTGCTGCAGCAACAGAAACAGTGGCTGTGAGCTGAGAGGCAACCCAAGGGAATGGAGGAGCACTTTGCCTATCCCAGGAGACTCCTCTGTGTTACGTTATCTGCCAGCAGCTGCCATGGCATAGAATATCATAAGCACATGTGCACACAATGCCCCAGCTGCTAGGTAGTTCTTTCTGCTTACAGAGAAGCCAGAGAGAAGCCAGAGCAGCTGCCGGTGCTGCGCAGACAGTGTAAAGGTGGAGCTCCTTTAAATCCCACAACAACCCTCCACGTCCAACAAGGATGTGGCGCTCTTGCAGTGGGTCCAGAGGAGGGCCACTAAAATGATAAGAGGGCTGGAGCACCTCTCCTATGATGAAAGGTTGAAGGAACTGGGCTTGTTAAGCATGGAGAAGAGAAGGCTCCAGGGAGACCTCATTGTGGCCTTCCAGTACTTGAAGGGAGCATATAAACAGGAGGGGAAACAGCTGTTTATGAGGTAGATAGTGATAGGACAAGGGGGAATGGTCTTAAACTGAGACAGAGTGGTTTAGGTTGGATATTAGGAGGAAGTTTTTCACCCAAAGGGTGGTGAGGCACTGGAACAGGTTGCCCAAGGAGGCTGTGGATGCCCCATCCCTGCAGGCATTCAAGGCCAGGCTGGATGTGGCTCTGGGCAGCCTGGGCTGCTGGTTGGCGACCTGCACACAGCAGGGGGTTGGAACTGGATGAATATTGTGATCTTTTTCAACCCTGGCCATTCCATGATTCTATGAACCCTGAACAGCAAACCTGAGTAAGGCAGCACAGACCAGTGCTGTCACAAACCACTGCACGTTCCCAAGGAGAGAGGGGCAACCAGAGACACAGTGAGTCAGCCTCAAACCCTGCAGTCCACCCAGCAAACTGCTGCTGGACATGCCTGAAGCACAGGCCCTTTTCTGTGCTCCTCTCCCCACAACAGCACTTCTCTCTCTGTTGCACCCTCAGCCATCAGCCTCCTACCAATCATTACCCCCCTCCCCAGTCCCATCTTCTCCACTTCTCCATTTGATGCTGCCTGAATGGAATTGAATTGAGGCCCCCAGAACTTCTGCCTCACAGTCAGTCTTACTCTTCACAAGCAGCCACAATTGACAACATTTGGCTCCTTCAGACTAATTATCTCTTGCAAAGACAAAAGTTTCAGAAATGATTTGGCATCTCAGCAGGCAGCCACCACAGAGCTCAGGCAAATGGAAGCCTCTGACCTGACAAACACAGAAGGGGCTCTCAAAAGGCACACCCTTGTCCCCAGGAGCATCCCTTAGGAGTTAGGGCTCCTCATTCAGGACATGGTGAGCTCTGGTGCTTTCCATGTACCAGAGCCACCTGACACCTTTTTAATCATGAGTAAGGCAATATACTTTTCCCTAGTTGTGCTTCGGAAAAATGATTGTATTGCTGTAAATTTTTCAGAACTAGTTTGATCCACAGCAAACTTCAGAATGGAAAATTTCACCCAAGTCATAAAAGTTCTGAAGAACTTTGTCCTCATAGAATTGCAGTTTGGAACTCAGAAATGCTGTATTTGCCTCTCAGCAGCTCCACCTATGTAAAAATAAAGCCATCCCAGCTTAACTTGTCAGACAATCACAGGGTTTTCCATTTTGTTTTCTTGACAAAATTTCAAAAATAGAAATTTTCCAGAGAAATGGAAGCACTAAAAATGTCAGACTACAGACCAACACAACTACAAGGTTCGAGTTGATCAAACAAATCAAGGTTTTTACAGCAATGTTTTCCATTTAAAAAAAAAAAAAAAAGAACATGATCATTCCATTAAACTCTTTCAGTGAAAGCATACAACCAACCTTTGCTTCCCTTCTAGTGAGGAAAAGGCTCTGGTGATACCATCTCCATTCCCTACCATTACCAAATCCTTGAATACAACATCCTGCGTGCCCTCAGGATGTGCAGTACTGCCAGCACCACCACACGTGTGCCATCTGCCTCCAGGTGAGTGTATCTGAGATTGTCTCTGCACTCCCACAGCGAAAGCAAATGAAGACCAGCACAGACAGCTTTTAATAGCAGATGCACCAGTACTGCAGAGTAGAGTGGGGGAATAATCTTCTCATCACATGAGTTGGTCATGATTTGATCTTAACAGATGTTAACAGAGAAACACACAAAGTAGGGGCACGACATGACACGGGGTTTTTAAAAAGCAAAGGCAACACGGTTTGCTGTTGCAGATATTCTTAGGTGATGAACTTCCCCTTGCCTGTACGAATCCTTCTTCTGAGTAGTTCTGCAATGCAGTCATGGTGACGTGTTCTTATCGTATCACTCTCCCCAGACATAGAAAATAATCCTGCTACAAACCTGAGCTGGTTTCACCAGGAGCACCACCATGTGATATTAGAGACAAAATATCTGTGCATTCAAACATAGCTGGACATTTCAGCAATTTGGCAAATAAACAAAATACCTGTATTTCTGGATACAATGGCTCTTCACTGCCTCTAGAGATCAGCCGTTTCCAAACTCTTCTGGTTTAAACACTGAATTTTGGGGAACACGGGCTGTGATCTGGCCTTTGATGCTTTAGCTCATTTCTAGCTGGGGCTAAAAAGAAACAAACACAAATCCCAGTTATAATGCTGCTCATTCATGGAAAGCACAAAGGCAAAATGAGAAGGAAGGACAAGGAAACGTATCCATAAAGGGTTAAGCTACAAGACCAAACGCCTGTGTTCTCTTGAAAAAAAGAAAAAAAAAAAAAGAAATAAAATCAAATGGACAGTAAAGCCTATTTCCTCAAAGCTAATAGAATTACAGAAATTATCCTAAGAGCATGTGTCTGGGGACGCAGTGAATGATGCTCTGAGAGATAGAGCAAACAAGATAAACAAGCTCTGTGCCAGCAGCAGCTGAATCCAGCCTGCTGCTCGTTCTCCCAGCACAATCTCTTAACACAGCACCACACGGGGTTGTCGTTTATTCTTCCCTAGCAGCAGGGAGAGCAGCACCTGGTGGGTACAGTCCCATGTCCCACACAGCTTCCCTCTCACCACCACCCAAAAGAAGGGTGCAGTCCCACTGAGCTCTCTCCCTTCTTCCTCCCTCTGCACCAGCTGCTGGATGTGTGCAGCAGAGCCCTGCGCCACCTGGCTGTTCCAGGGGAGGCAAAAAGCAATACACAATTTAACATAGAAGCTGACGGGCACCCGGGGAATGAGCCACACTGCAAACCTCAATTTTGACTGAAAGGGAAACAAATCAAATGCTGGGGCTCTGAAAGGTTGATAGAGGATAACCCTTACCCAAAGGCCTTTGGTTGCTTTTTTGTTGGTTTCTTTGGGGGAATTGTTTCTTTTTTAATTTCAGACTATTTCATGAGAGTAAGAAAAGATTAAAACTCTTATTTCTGCAGTGAGAACCCACAAGTCTTAAGAAGCTCTCCAAGGACAATGCATAAAGAGTAACCTTAGCAGAACTTCAAATAGAACGCCCCATTGTCCCTCATCTTCTTTCCCCAAAAGGTTTCAACAATAGGTACTTTTGGGATCAGGCTGGGATCTTACACCTTTCCTCAATTCCACCTTCCCAACTCATGAAAAAAAGAACTGTCCAAAGATAGTTACTCTGAAACACTTTGGCCACGCTTGGCCTCCAACTCAAACCTCTGCTCTTATTGATCTCATCACTCTGCACTTAAATCCTGGCAAGTTATATATGTCAAACTGAATCACAGAATCACGGAATGGCCTGGGTTGAAAAAGATCACAATATTCATTCAGTTCCAACCCCCTGCTGTGTGCAGGTCGCCAGCCAGCAGCCCAGGCTGCCCAGAGCCACATCCAGCCTGGCCTTGAATGCCTGCAGGGATGGGGCATCCACAGCCTCTTGGGCAACCTGTGCCAGTGCCTCACCACCCTCTGTGTGAAAAAATTCCTCCTCGTATTTAATCTAAACCTCCCCTGTCTCAGTTTAAAACCATTCCCCCTTGTCCTATCACTATCTACCCTCATAACAGCCGTTCCCCCTCCTACTTATATGCTCCCTTCAGGTACTGGAAGGCCACAATGAGGCCTCCCTGCAGCCTTGTCTTCTCCAAGTTAAACAGGCCCAGTTCCCTCAACCTTTCATCACAGCAGAGGTGCTCCAGGCCAGTATGTGCTGAATTACTCCTTGGAACAGCACCATCCCTTTCTCACAGTGAAGAAGCAGGCTACAGTTAGGCACCCAGCACTTGTGTTTGCACGGATGAGACGGAGCCAAGAAAAAACTTTCAACATTCACAGCATAATTGGAAATTTGGGTCTCATGATCTCAGATCACTGCTAAATCAGGCATCCCTAATACCAATATTCATTAGCACAATTCAATTGGAAGATTTTCAATAACTAGACTTCTCCTAGTAACATGGCACGAGCTTCTTACAAAGAAGGATTTTGCACAGCAGCCGATTGAAAAAATCTTCAGCATTGCCGAATCACCTCGTTCACCCACACACCATTTCACAGGCTTTAACCCACGCTGGGACGCCGCTCATTGCCCACAGTATTTGTCTGCAGTTGATTCTGCCTGGGTAGCAGGGTCGGGGGCAGCCCAGCCCAGCTGCCAGCGGCGCACTGCGCAGCGCCGTGCCGAGGTGCTGCTGCTCGCAGGCATTGCACGCATCACAGGAGCAGAGCTGTGCTCCTACAACCCTGGCAGCTCAGCTCATCTCCGGCAGCCTCTGTCGCCAGGCTGTCATTCACAGCACCATGCAGAGCACACACGCTCTCCTCTTAACTGCTGTTGTTTGCATCCTCTTTCAAGGTGAGTGATCCTTAATTTGTTTATCTGTTGTGTGTAGAGGAGGAACTGAGGAGGTGAGCAGGAGGTGGCTTGGTTGCCAATTTATTTTAAGAAGTGTGGAAGCTTATGCCAAACTAAGGGATGAAATGTGCAGAATCCTACCAGTTTGTTACACTGTTGGGCTTTTTTGTCTTGTTTTGCTTCTAACTCTTCCTTGTGAGGTAATTAAGTCATCCTGATTCAATATGCCAAACGAGACACACAAAGCCATGTTAATGTTGAGAAGAGAAAGCACCTTACGTGTAAAAGCTTGGTTTTATATATTGTGGAGCAATTAAGGACTAGAAGAGAGACAATATTAAAAAGTTCTAAATGCGTGCTGTGAACAGTGCCTTATCTCTGCAAATCAAGTGTTTAAATTTAAAAAAAAACAAAACATAAATACATTCATTCTGGAGATAAAGTGGGCAATAGATTTAATCCAACCGCTGGTGGCACACCAAAAGGCTGGCAATTTGGGACTGGCCATCATAAAAGAGTTGCTATAACTTAGCTTTAACATGACTTATCTAAGAGATTGAATATTTATTCCAGGAAGCCTTGATTTGGGAGATGAAATACCAAAACACCACCAACAGGGCAACGCTAGCAGTTCAGAAGTATCAAAGAAGTATGTTCATTTTTCAATTAGCAACTTGGCTTGAGTGATTTCGCTAATCTGAGAAGTGAAATCACCTTCCAAGTGTTATCTGAATACAGCTACACGTGAGGGGAACTTCCTTGTCTCAGGGAGATAAGGGCTCTTACAAAGACCAGAAAGCAACACCTGCTGTTAAACACCTCAGCTCCATCGCCTGCGGATACCTCTGTTTCATTTATAAAAGATACTAGCCAGGAGGGTGAAAAAATAATAAGTGTCCTCGCAAATATCTGTTGATTATGGTCCAGAGGGTTCATTCAGCAGGTGTTAGCTCTGTGCCTTTGACAAGCATGCCGTAACACCCAGAAAGCAGCACAAAACACGCCCTTCTGTTTGGAGCACGGCAGCCGCGCTGCCCGCAGACTTTCAGGAAGAGCCTCCTAAAAGGAAAGCGGTGCCGCGCTGACGGCCGGGCGGCGCTCGGAGCACACAGCTGCTGGGCAGCTTCGCGCACGGCCTCCCCACCAGCAGCGCGTTGCTGTGCCGTGTATCAGCACGGCTCGGGGTATCGCAGGGCAGATGCAGCACATCTCTGCGCCTCGCCCCGCAGGCTGCGGCGGCTCCGAGCCCGAGCACCGGCTGTACGCGGCTCTCTTCAAGAACTACAACCAGTTCGTCCGCCCGGTAAAGAACATCTCGGACCCCGTCATCATCCAGTTCGAGGTGTCCATGTCCCAGCTGGTCAAAGTGGTGAGTGTTCGGCCCCACCTGGCGCCCGCGGGAGGGCCGGCCCCGCACCCGACACGCCTTTGTTTTACAGGACGAAGTCAACCAGATCATGGAGACCAACCTGTGGCTGAAGCACGTGAGTAGCGTTCCCCGAACCCGGCGGGACGAACCCGGCACGAGGCGGCCGCCCAACGTTGCGGGGCTCACGCGCGGAGCCTCCAGGCCGTTCCCCTCAGCTGCGCTTTGCTGCCCGGCGCTCTGCTGCCCCCCAGCGGCACGCGGCAGCACCTCGGCACGCGGCGCGCTCTTTCCCGCCTCGGGCCCTGTGAGAGCGCCGCTAGGGCGAGCGCGCCTCAACCAACGTAACAGCCACCGGCCCCTCGCACCAACACGGCGTCTAAATACGGGGCCAACGTCGGGGTGCAGCTGTTCAACTGAGGGCGATCAGCTGCAGCAGTAACCCTCCTGCGCTCAGCGTCGTCCCCGAGCGCCGCGTTTCGCTCTAGAATGTTGCCATGGTGGATAGGAAGGCGCACAGGGGAGGCTCCGCATGGGGGGCTCTCGTCACGCAACACTCCAACACGACAGTGCTGCCTTGGCTTAAAAGGAACTTCATAGGTTACAAAGGCAATTACTTACTGTGGTGGTCAGCATAACCAACTTAATAGGCAGCTTCATCTTAATCATCAATTTGGCTAAGCTGGGTTTTAATGAGCACTAATGAACAGTCACTTGACTGAATGCCACCTAGGTCTGTCCTTCAGTGCTTTCACACAGCAACACAGCCACCCCTCAACACATTTCCACTGCGTGGCAGTGCTTTTTGAGGCCTAAGTTATTACTCCCATCCTTTCTCACCTTGTTTCACTGGTACAGGGACTGAGTCACCTCCCGACCCACACAGACACCTGACTTGGATCTGCGATTAAGAAACATCTGATCGTGGCGGTATCCAAAACAAAACAACCCTAAAAGCCACCCCACAGCACTTGGTTTGACTCTAGTCCACAGGATTTTGATCTCTTTGCAAACTTAATGCACTGACTCGTTTCTTCTCTAATTAGATCTGGAATGATTACAAGCTTCGGTGGAATCCAGTGGATTATGGAGGTGCTGAGTTCATCCGAGTGCCCTCTGGCCAGATCTGGAAGCCAGATATTGTATTATATAACAAGTAAGACTCCCACATACCTGTTTTCTTAGTTCAGTCATAACAGTTCTAAACTCAAAGAAGGAAGATCTGTGTGAGGTGGAAGCAAGAATTCTTTGCTGTGGTGGTGATGAGATGCTGGGGGTTTCCCAGAGAAAGTGTGTGTGCCCCATCCTTGGAAGTGCTCCAGGCCAGGCTGAATGGGGCTGTGAGCAACCTGACCCAGTGAAGGCTATCTGAGACCCATGGCAAGGGCTTGGAATTAGATGGTCTTTAAGGTCCATTCTAACCCCAACCATTCTGTGATTCTACAGGAGCAACTGCTGCTGATTTTTTAAAAACTAATAAATACCAACAAATTCAGTGAACTTGCTGAAAAAGCTTACTTTCCAATGTCCCATCTCTCTGCTACTTACACGCCATCTGCATCAGCATCGCTGGCTGAGCCAGGTCCTAACCCGAAGGTGCAAGCACTGCGGGGGGGGGCAGGCCAAAATGAGGTTTACTCTTTCCCTTCACAAGACCCCAGTTTTAATACTATTTTTTGCACTGCTGGCAAGGGAAATGACAGTAAGTTCCCTTGGACTGCAGTTTTCTTATCTGAGTCAGACTGAAACATACAAACAAGCTAATTCTAACTTTCTATCTGCTAACCTCATAATTTGACACCTTTCCTATAGCAGCATACAAAAGCTAAACTTTAATAGCTAAAAAGCTAAAGCTAACAGCTAAAACCACTGTGAAGAGCCAAACCACAATTAAATGGATTCCTCTGCTCTCAGTCTGATGTGTTTCACTACACAGATCCAAAGCCTAAATCTGTGGAGAGGAGTGACACTGCTGCTTTTCTAACTGCAGCCATAAGAATGAAAATTACATTTTCAGTTTTACTTTTTGTATAAACAAATGTAATTGTCACATAGATCTTACTATGCTGGATGGGACCAGGACAGCGATACAAAACTTAAAAAAAAACCATCAGTGAATAAACAATTCAGGCAAAGATGCACCTCAACACTACTTACTGCCTTCATGGTCCGCAGAAGAAGTGGAGACATCAGTACTGCAGATATCCCTTGATGTTGGCCTTTGGGTTCTGACATGCTTGGTCTCACATTTGCTGTTTTGTATATTGACTGCACTATGTTATTACTGTAAGAGAGAATCTCTTTTTTTTTTTCAAATCCTCAAAATTTATGAAGCTGTTTAACTGTGAGAATTTATGACAAACACTGACAGTCCTGCATACTGACATGGAGCTGAATCGCATGTGGAACTGCTGGCTTCCACAAACCGTATTAAAGATTGAATGTGTATGAACTGACAATGTGAAACTACCTGGATCAGTTGCATCCTGATGTTATTTTCATTTGCTTTGCAGTGCAGTTGGAGATTTCCAGGTCGATGACAAGACAAAGGCCCTACTGAAGTACACTGGTGATGTGACCTGGATACCCCCAGCTATATTTAAAAGCTCATGTAAAATAGATGTAACCTACTTCCCATTTGACTATCAGAACTGCACTATGAAGTTTGGTTCCTGGTCTTATGATAAAGCCAAAATTGACTTGGTTTTAATCGGCTCTACGATGAACCTGAAAGATTACTGGGAGAGTGGAGAATGGGCCATTATTAAAGCTCCTGGGTATAAACATGACATTAAATATAACTGCTGTGAAGAGATCTACACAGACATCACATACTCTCTTTACATTAGACGCTTACCTTTATTCTACACCATCAACATGATTATTCCATGTCTGCTGATTTCTTTTCTGACTGTCTTGGTTTTCTATTTGCCCTCAGACTGCGGTGAAAAGGTGACGCTCTGTATATCAGTCCTTCTGTCTTTAACGGTGTTTCTTCTTGTAATCACTGAAACCATACCTTCGACCTCCCTGGTGATCCCCCTTATTGGGGAGTACCTCCTTTTCACTATGATATTTGTAACGCTGTCTATTGTCATTACGGTATTCGTTCTAAACGTGCACTACAGAACACCCAAGACACACACCATGCCTGTGTGGGTGAGAACTATCTTCTTGAACTTACTTCCCAGGATCATGTTTATGACAAGGCCCACCAGCGATGAAGAGAATAATCAGAAGCCAAAGCCCCTTTACACTTCTGAGTTTTCAAACTTAAACTGCTTCAACAGCTCTGAAATCAAATGCTGCAAAGATGGCTTTGTATGTCAAGACGTGGCATGCAGCTGTTGCCAATACCAACGGATGAAGTTTTCCGATTTCAGTGGCAATCTCACAAGAAGTTCCAGCTCTGAATCTGTAGATCCTCTGTTTTCATTTTCCGTTCTGTCACCAGAAATGAGAGATGCTATTGAAAGTGTTAAATACATTGCAGAAAATATGAAAATGCAGAATGAAGCAAAAGAGGTAAGAATATATTTTACTATTACTCAAACTGCATTTGTGATCAATTTGCTTTGAAGAAAAAACAAAAAACCAAATGACAACACAGAGCACTGTTTGGTGTAAGTAAATTACATAAGCTGTGTTCCAAGCACATGCAACTTTGAACGTAGATAATTTTGGGGAGCAGCTCTCTTGCACAACGTTCTCTTTCTTGACAACACATCTTGCATGAGAACGTAATAAAATTTCAGCATTACCTACAAAATGTATACCAAACACACAGGTAACTGTGCACCAGTTCATCTGCAACATACTGTTTAAAGACCAGTAGTGTATTTCAGTAAGCTTTTCTGGCTAATTGTGATCACCTGAAAACACAAAGCTTTTTACTGTCAGTGTTGGCATACAGAAGTAGTATCCCATGAAGTCTGATGAATTGGTGAACAACGTTTTTATCTGAAGCAGCTTCTGGTTTAGCACAAATAGCATACTCAAACAAAGCTGCTTCAAGGTGATTTCATCAGTATAAACACAGGAAAGCTCAAAAAAATTATTTGCACGCTATGTTTAAGATTCCTAATTGCTAATGCTTTAAAATCTAATAAACATGCCTACTTAATATTTATTTTTCAGATTCAGGATGACTGGAAATATGTTGCCATGGTAATTGATCGTATTTTTCTATGGGTTTTCATCCTGGTATGTATTCTGGGAACAGCAGGATTGTTTTTACAACCTTTGATGACTGGAGATGACATGTAAAAGCTTAAAACATCATGCTCTGAAGTCAAATAAAACTTGTGCCAACCAAACTCTGCTCTCTTACCCCAGCACCTGATAGCTCTTCTGTGTGTTTCAATAGTAGAATAAGGATCTCTCTTGGCTCAACTTTGCTTGACCTAGAAGGCTTTATTAAATAATGTGATAACATGAAAAAAATATATATTTTAAAACTTTCTCCAAGTAATATGTGCTGTGCTTGCCAGCTCCTTTTCACAATAGCTGGAAAAGATGTGGGTCGTATGATAAACTTCATAGGAACTATTTAAGAAGCTGCTGATAAAATTATATAGATGTTCAGAGAATCAAGACAGGTTGAGTCCTTCAGGCTACCAGAGTTGAATGGAAGACACTTGGCACCAGACATGATGGGACCTTTGGAAATATTAATTCAACGTGTGCCCTGATAAGGACAGAATGGCTGAGGAAGCATATGTACCAAATGCTACAGAACACTGCCACCCAGTGCACAAGCCCATTCAAAGTGTGGGAAGAAAGATCTGTGGGCAGGTTTGTTACAAAAGGAATAGTAGGTGAGTAACAGATGATGGTTTTATTACAAGGGAAGGCAAGTGGATACAAAATACTCCTGTAAAGTATGCTAAAATTATGTCTTAGGTATGCCTTTTGTTTTAAATAATAACAAGATGATTTGAGAGCTTGGATAAACAGTACAACAAAAATACTGTAATGAGATGTTTTGTAAATATATAAATTGTTCTCTCTGTACCAAACTGGAACCTTTTTAGAGACAGTGCTGTCAAATGAGGTAACATTTATAAAAATAAAGAGAATCAAGCTGTTGAAAATGGGGATTTTCTTTCATTTATTTTGACCAAGAGACAAAACTACAGTAGTTACATCTCAGCACATTCAGAAGGGAGTTACATAAGTAAAGGCCCATGCTTCTGAGTCTATTAAAAATAATTTCGTTTCACACACACCTGAGGATGAGCTGAAAACCCCGAGGGTTCCAACATATCTTTTTCATCCACAGACATCGTGATCTGATTAAAGAAACGACTGAAAGAACTTCATGCATTTACAGAAATTGCTAGTTACTAGTATAAAGGCTGGAACTCCGTTGGCCACACTGCCAATTACCCCATGATGTAATTAAGAGTCTTCAGACATTATTGAACAAGGTGCAGGAGGGGAGCTAAAAAGATACATGGCTAATGTATTCCTTTCTGATAAGGGTAAACTGTAGTAAGTAATTCAAAGCTAAGGAGGACTATAAAAAGAAACTTTGCATTTGGAAAGGAAACAAGATGCCCAAAGCTTTTCTGCAATTTTCACACACAGTTTCTGATGCATTAATATTAGTGATACTGAAAAAGTTGCTGTACTAATGGATTAAATCAGACTGCAAATTCACTTTTAAAATAAATTATGATGGGAAAGCAGAGAATACTGATATCTAACACTAGATGGAATTGTGGAACTGAAGAGGAAGAGCTGTTTCTCTTTCAACCAGAATTATTTATAACTTGGTAAAAAATAACAGCAGGTTGTTACAGATTAGTTGGCATCATTTCCCTGTGCAGGGGACTTGAAAGGCTGCACATGAGCCCTGCTGGAATCAGCTGTGTTGTGAAGGAACAAAGAAACTGACAAAACCTAACGTGTAGGAAAAACGTTCTCTTCTAGAGTCTCTGCCAGAAATAAAACTTTTAAGAATAGCAGCACTGGAATCCATTTGAAAATTAACACCCATTATTTAATTAATATAGTTTAGAGTAAATAATTTTATTATCATTAATTGTTAATTTTAAATATACATATATGAGATCTAGCTGACACAGAGATGTCAATACTCACGTATCCTGTAAGCATTTTAAGGCTCAGTATATCACAGGGTCACATTAGTATGGTAGAATGAACAAGATTTCAAGTTCAGCAGCAAATGCCACTGAAAATTTATGGAGGCATAACGCAGTCAGAATGCTCTGTTTATTGATCTGCTGAAAAGAAAGGAAGTGATGTTTCTATTATAATTTTTCATTTACTGTGTAGATACAAGTTCTCATTTGCATAATATAATAAGATGAAATACAACTCTATTGTGCAAGCATCTGCAAAAATTTAACAATAAATATAATATTTCCCATAGTAACTTAATAATGGGACTACAGTGATCTTCATTAAGAAATCTCAATCCTTCTCCTTCTCAGTAGGTGTCAGTATGTACTGCTCCTAACACACACATGCAGATATTTGCAAAGGTCTTTGATTTTGGCATGATGTCCAAGTATCTTAATAGACTGGCACTAAGCAAACTGACTTCTGTGAGTCCTACGTGCCATGCTTTAACATCACAATTGTTAAGTTTAGGACTGTATTTTTTTTTCCTATCAGAAACGTGCCTACAAAGAACATGCATGGAAACTTAATACTACCAAACCTTTTTAGAATGATGTTAACAGGAGATCCAAAAATATCTTATGTATTTGTACTGCCTATATGCACAGGTACTATTATACTTGCCCATTTATGAATAACAGGAATAAATAACACAAGTGATCCAATTATTGAAACCAGAAGAAAGGCCCATAAGAACATTCGATCAAGCACCTGAGCAATAAATTTCCAGTCTTCAACAACCTAAAAAACAAAGAACATAAGAGCTGTCCAGTATGTGCAAGAGCAGGTGAACATACAGCATCAGACTCTGCAATAATTAATCACTTCTTATTTTCCTCCCCCTCCTAGGCAGGTCAACCTGATTACCCCCTCCTTTTCAATATATACACATATTAATAAATCACACTGTGACCCACAGCAGGAAAACACTTCTCTCTATGTAGATATGCAGCTTAAATGCTAAATTTTAGTGGACCAGTTGACCCCAATGAGCATAGAATATCCTCAGTTATGCAGAGAGAAAATCAATATGCAATTTAATAACATACTGGAGGATTTAGGATTCATGCCACAGCCTCACCATAGAGTAGGACTCCCAGGCAGAAGCTAGATGCTAAAGTTGCAAACAATTAGCAGCAGACAGCAGCTCTAGATTACACACAACATCTGAGAACTGTGACAACTAGTGCATGGAATTACACACCAGGTAGAACACTCACAGTGCTTTCAAGACTGTTTCCCTTTTTGATAGGATTATTTATGTCTACAGACAGTTTTGCAAGTAATGCAAGTACAGCTGATATGATCATGCAAGCAAATTAAAACTGCCAAAAAAGCAACTTTCGTTTCAATTGGAGCTACCTGCATTTCCCAGGCCTACTGCATCCTGCAAGGCAAGGCTACAACACCAGCTGTGTAAATTTTTTTTCAACAACCAAGGCTAAAATCTTTCTGCAGTCAAAGCCTGCATTCCCCAGGGGCCAAATAACAAAATGTAAGTGAACCCCCAGTCTGCTGTATGTGCAGTTGTGGCGTTTAGAGTTGCACCGACTAAAAAACAAAATACCTATCAACTCTCTTGCCACATACAATTGAATAAAGTAATTTAATAAAGAGAATCGACTCACAATTTACTCAAAACTATACCTTTAAGCAAACTATTCTATTTGTGCTGTATATACATGGACATACTCTGCACTGTATATACAAGAATCCTATTTTGACAGTACAGTAGGTATTCAAAATCCAGTCTGGATCCCTTGTGATAATATCAGAGCACAGTCCTGAGAAGCTGCATTAGAAGAATTAATTTGCTCCAAGGCTAACATAGGAGTACATTCCTCTCAGCAACTTTTACAAGAGGTGCTAGTTTAAAGTAAGGAAGGAAAACTAATTTGTAACGATCTTACCTGCACAGCATAAATACCCACACTAAGGATAGCTCACTGTGAAAATGCACAGACTGAAAAATATCCTTTAAATTGTATCGAAAGTTGTCAAAGGGAAATGATAATAGGGCTAGAAGAGATCACTCAAGAGCTCATCCAGTCAAAGTCTGATCTCAGCACAAAATAATTAATCTATGGTGACAGCCTGTATTTAACCTAATATAAACTATGGAATTTAAAATTGTCTATATTTGGAAATGAAAGATGCAAGAAAAAGGCTTAGCAGGAATTATTCTGGAATTGTGAATCAAATATATTTTTCAGGCAGCCTGCAGGTACAACACTAAAATGAAAAATACCTACTTCTTTCATTATGAAAACAGCATGCAGCAGCCCTGCAGGTAGCAGTTACTGCACATGCTATTGTAACAGCTGTGTGTCCCTGAGCATATTTGATTAACAACAACATGGGCTTCTATAGGAAAGCATAAATATGTCAGCAGTTCAGGTATGGCATTATACCAACCTGGGAGCTCAGTGCTGGAGCATACCTGTACTTCTTTCCAGCAGAAACAAGTGTATGACTTCCAGTGAAGTATAAAAACTAGAAAACCTAGCACATACTGAATGTGCCCACACAGTGAACGTGCCCACATATTGAATGTGCCCACACAGTGAACGTGCCCACACAGTGAACCATTCCTCCTTCTTGTTGTGCTTCGTTTCAGTTGCCTTGTTCTTTATTTTTTTTAATTTCCCCTTTTAACAAAATGAGTTTAATACCACTAGAACACCCACCTCACGAACTTCATTCTCCTTCATAACATGCCTTGTGATATATCGGATAGAGTCTAGAGCAGCTTCCAAGGTGTTTCTGGATGACTCTGATCCACTCGTATTTCCTTTTTCCTCCTTCTGAGCAAAGTATCTATCTACATGACTTCTCATGCAAAGCAGCTTGGGAAGTTTGTGAAGAAATATCTTGCGAACCCAAGGTGCCATGGCGTTGTGTGTAGACGAAGAGCGGTGATGAATATTGATAGCAAAGACAGTTATCACGATGGACAGAGTCACAAATATCATAGTAAACACCAAGTACTCTCCTATAAGTGGGATAACTTTAGAAGACGATGGAATAATCTCTTCAATGACAAGAAGGAAAACAGTCAGAGAAACCAGGACTGAAGTGCAAAGGGAAATTTTTTCACCTTCATTTGAAGGAAGATAGAAGACGAGGACAGTTAGAAAAGAAAGTCCAATGCAAGGAATGATGAGAAACAACGTGTAAAAAAGAGGTAAACGTCTAATTATAAACGAATACGTAACAAAGGGATACCAGCAGCATCCATCAGTTCTATTTCCTTTGCTCCCTGTTGCAGTCACTATTTCCCATTCTCCATTATCAAAAAAGTCTCTTTTGTCAACATCATAATCTTCTAAAATTATATCAACTTGGGAGCCATCGTAAGTCCAGGAACCAAATTTCATAGAGCAGTTTTGGAGGTCAAAGGGAAAGAAGGTTACATCAATAGTACAAGAACTTTTGTAATTTGCTGGTGGAGTCCAAGCAATGGTGCCATCATATTTTACCACAGTTTTAGTAGACGTCCCCTCAAAACGTCCATCTGCACTGAAAGAAAAAGAGATATGTGGAGGAAGAGATGTTTTGTTATTGTTGTTTCAGCTGTTTGCTCCTTCTTTCTCCCCTTTCACTGCCACAATTTTGTATCGTGCTGTGTTCACAGTTTACTTCTTGTGGTTGGTTGATTTCCTGGGTGGTTTGTTGGTTTATAGGTTTGTTTTTTTTGGGGGGGTGGTTTTTGTTGTTTGTTTGTTCTGGTTTTATTTTTTAACCTGAATCTCACACAGTTAATTACCTTCACAAAAGTGAAGAACATTGTCAAGCCATTAAAAGATCTGTACTGCAGCCCTGATGATTCAAGCAAGGGACTGTGGAAATCCTCACCTTTGGCAGCCTGACCAAACCCTGATGTTTCTATTGGTAATACAGCACAAATACTTCTAAATCTGGAGAAATCACAATAATTGGGGAAAAAAAACAACCACTCCACTTGTGCTCCACTTCCAAGCTTGAAATTATAATCAGTCTCTCTTGACTCACCAAGCCAGAAAATGTTAGAAGTGTTGCATGTGCACCTGAATTGATTAGAAAGGTTCATTCAAAACTTATTTCCTCTGGGGTTCATCAATTCTTGAAGGAACAAACTTACTGCTAATTCTTAATGTACTAAACGTACATTCACATACTACGTACAAGAAGCCTCCTACAAGCAGGTTGGAAAGTCACGTTAGCAAGAGGAAAAGGTGTTCTATATAAAAAGATTAAAATCTTACTTGTCATATAACACAATGTCTGGGATCCAAATAGAATCCGACGGGACACGAATAGATGTTATTCCAGCATACTCTTCAGGGTTCCATCTTAATTTTACATCTATCCATTCCTGTAGATGCAAGAGGTGTAGAAATCATAATAAAGGTGGAGTTCATTTAAGCAGGATGTGATCAGATAAAAATAGACATACAGGCAACTTAAAATTAGCAAACAAATGCATCACACTTCTGTAAGTTTTCTGAACTTCATATACAACACTGAATTTGCTGAACAGACAACTAAGGACATTGTCCAGCATTTGTTTTTTATGATAAGAGCCATTTGACACTATTTTGATACAGACCTCACAGTATTAAAATCTTTTTTCACAGCATGTTTACACAAGTAAAAGCATTAGAGACAGTATTTTATATTTGAACTAAAAGCTCTAGAGGGGCAAATGCTCAGAAACTTGCATTTTTCATCAGAGAGAATTGTAAATACATTCAGGTCAGTTCTTATTTCATTTGAGCTGACTTAACTGCAGTAAGTTCTGCTTGCTAAGTAGTAATACAGTCTTCTTGAAAATAAACGCCTGAACTTACAGTCATTGGAGAGAAGAGAATGGAAAGAACCAGAAAAAAAAATAGCCAAAATAAAAATAATTCAGTAAGGCAGCAAATATAATTAGAGCCTGCAACCACTTCTCTAAGTTAAATTAAGAATGATTTGTGAGAAGCATTTCACAGGCTAATAGTGGCCACTAAGTTTAGCATGGGACTTAGATTATTATCAAGCCTGTAGCTGCCTCTTGCCCATAAACAAATGCTGTGATGAGCAAAATCAGCTTTTTATAGCAAGTACATACAGGTCTGAAATTGAAAACTTCAGTGGTAGTTATTCACTGAACACCTGACAAGAGAAATATCTTAAAACAAATATATAACAATATACACAAACCCTTCATACTCCTCTTAACACAGCTCTAGAAAGAAAACCTGTTGTACACAGGCAGTGATTTTCATCATGGTGATAACACACACCTTGGTCTACTCAGCAGCCATTCAATGCAGCCTCAAAATTATTTTTATAAGGCACATTTTAAAAACATATTTCATTTTTTTAAACTGAGTTTTGTAACAATTCATCCTTTCAATGTAAACAAACTACGTGAAGTAAGAAAGAACTACAGCGTCTGAGTGAACAGATATTTAGCAAAGTTGCATCCAATTTTCAATTTGCAGTTCTGAAACCTCAGAGTTCACTGCTCTTTTACACACACCTGTTTCAGCCAGACGTTTGTGGTCATCAGCTGATTCTTCTCATCCTATAAAAATGAAATGTATTTTATTAAAACAAAAAAATTGCACTGCACATAGTAACTAAGTGCTACAGTTGATGCAAGTTTGTGATGTAAAAAACAGAAAGCACCCCTAAACCATTCCAGTCTTTGCTAATACACTTTTAGGAGAACTTTTAAAACATAACAGTTATGCCCTTATATTATTCAACTGCTTAAAAAGCAGTATTTTCCCCCTCCTATGATTCTTTCCTCTCTTCCTTTTTTCCATGTGACTGTATTTCATGCACTCTTACTGTTTTGCTATGGAAACAAGATGGAACAAGAAACCCGTGGAGGAAAAACTCCAAGTGGAAAAACCAACTGATTCGATTTGAGAAGAATTTGAGGAGAATAAGTTTTGGGAGAAAAAGTAAAATAAAAGAAACAAGCTTATTTACTGTACGTACCACATCTACTAGCTGAGAGATTGCAAGACCAAACTTGATTTTTATCGTATCATTCAGGTGTTCCACTGGACGAACCCATCTTTGATAGTCTTCAAATAAACGTTTAAACAAACGATCTTCACTCTTGGCAATAAAAGAAGGTTCAGATACACCTGCACAATAACAGCAACTTATTAACAGTGATTTAAATGAGTACATCTGTGTGCACACGCTCAGGTAGTAATAAGTTTCTCATCCCCCTCCATCTAGAAGCACGGCCACGGCTGTGTCAGAATGTTACAAAACGACCTGGCTGTATTGGCCCCTCAGTACTGCCAGCACGTCTACTGCTCAAGAAATGAAGATACTTTTACTACTAATAATAACAGAGGCAAAATGCTCTCATGTCATTTGACTTACAGCACTTACCAGGCACCATGGAACCATGGAAATCTCTAAAACTCAAAACTTACCTATGAGGAGTTGAAGTTCTATTGTTCTAAACCAAAGTGGCACTTTTAAAAACCAGCACATAGGCCTTCAGTACACTGCAGAGCTTCTGTTTGAAATGTAGCTGTCTCCACCTTGCTTCTTCTAACATCTGTGCCCATGCCACACGTAAGCTCTGCAGTACTTGTAAAGTACTTTTCCCCACATCTTTATTATTTTCTAGACATGTGCTAATGTGTCTATCACTAAATCCTCTGTTTTTCTATAGACAGGAAGGCACCTTTATTTTTAAGTAATAGCATGCAGTCAGTCACTTCATTTTCAGAGTGCTCAGGGATCCATTTCAGTGCCTGGAGACTGACTGATGACCTACACAGACAAAGTCTTTGTACAGTGAACAAAGAACAGCAAATTAAAATGTCTCCTCCCATCTCCCTGGAGAATGGGATGTTTGGAAGAGCTTTGGAAAACAACAAACAATGACCCAGGAGATCACACAGACCACCAGAACACATGAAGGAGCTTGCTGCTCACTGATGGGATTTCAATTGACTGAAACTACTGCAAAAGAAAGACTTCATAATTATTATTGTCAGGTTAAGGGGCAAAGTAACCCAAAGATGTTCACAAACATCTCTTTTTAATGCACCATAACAAAAAGCTATGGCATGACCTTTCTAGAAGTGATGTGCTCACTAACAGTATCCATCTAAAAAAAGATGCATCGAAAATAGGAAAGCACCACAGAATGGCATAAACAGATTAAAACCAGAGGCAGACATGCACGCGAGGAGAGATTTAAAAGATTAATATTATTTTGCTTGGCAAGGAGGTGAATTTAGTGCACGCCACAGAAGACGATGAAGTAGTGAACGGTGCTTGCAGAAAAATGACTGTTTAACCTTTCTTGTGAAAGACAAAGGAAACAAAAGGATCAATTAAAAGCAACATCAGAGATCTCTATTTAAAGTTTATTGCCTAAGATTGCGGGGCTGTGGTCAGCGCAGGTAGCATGATGTTTGCCTGTCAGTCATTTCAACACCACCTGGATCAACAATTTGAAGGGCTTGCATTTGTGGCAGACTTGGCTGGGCTGAAGACACCAACTGAAATGCACCAAAGCTCCCTGCCTGCGGCTGCACCCAGCCCAGACAAGCGCAGCGTCGCAGCTTTTGGTTTCCTCCCACCCATCACAGCGCTCTGCTGTGCTGTGAGGGCCTGACCACGAGGGGATTTCTCCACCTCAGTGGAGAACAGTGCAGCAGAACCACTGTTAGGAATTCTTACTGATATTTAAGCTCAATGCAACCTCGTTAGCCAAGGGCTTTTTCCTGTTCCTAACTGCACACGGATTTGCCAAGCTCTGCTTATTACAGACATCTGAGAGAACACTTCCCGAAGACACAACTCAATTTCTCTGTTTCTCTATCCCTATTTCCTCAATGATGAATAGTTTTGTGTACATTCCAGCCTAATGTTTCATAAATACATGATTTTTGTATGAGCATTAATTGCATTTTCCTGTTAAAGTTCCAACGCTACCGAGTTTTGTGAACAATTTGTGAGCATTAATTGACCTTGAAGCAATGCAGAGGCAGAGTTGCACTGTCACAGTCTCTGTGCTCCTGTAAGATGACCTCCTGTGCACCAACACAGCACTCTCCAGGTACACACCACTTGCAGATGCAGCTTCTCTTACGCTGAGCTAAAAGGGAATGTGTGCCCTTACCACTTTGCCACGCTTCAGAGCAAGGTTTTCAAACACCTCACACTCAGACCTACACCATACTCACTGATTTAATGAGATTACCATATTTACTAACAGCATAATTCAACTAATTATCGCTATTTTCCTCTCTCTCATGGAAATATCCACACGTTTTCATGCTTCTAGCTCTCTTTTCTGCTTACTAAATAAGCTGTAAGAGGAGGTTATATCCAGAAGGAGGTTGGAGGCAGTAACAAGGTCTGAAGAATGGGCAAAAATAAAACAAGCTCCTCACCTTTCTGCATGTTATTTAATAGGACACACAGCTCATCCACTGCATGGACTGCATGCATTCAATTACTCTTCTTTGTGTATTTGCATGCTTTAAAAATTACCAAGTGTGTAACCGTCGTTTATCAGTGTTAGCACTAATTAAAACAATCTGAAGAACTGGTGGTTAGCAGAAAAAAAGGTACAGAAGAGAGCAAAAGAGGGGAAATACAGCTGGCAGCAAGGCAGCAGGCACTTGGAGGAGGCTACACCACTGGAAAAGAGCAGGAAGAAGTTAAACCTATGGAAAGGATTAGCAAAGTGGAGAACAAGCCTCACACTGAAGCAGGTTTTCAGCTCCTGAAGGGCCACTCTAAGCATGCCTGCACCTGTGTGGCTGTAGCCAGGTGGAGCTCAATAACTTCTGCAGCCTGAACCGCAGGTAGCTGCGCTCTACAGTGATAAATCCTGGAGGCAACACTTACTTCAGTTTGCACCCAAAGCTCTCTCCACTCAGTCTTCCTCCGTGTGACTTTGTGTACAGGACAAAATTAAAAAATCAAATCAGGAAGTGGACAAAATTTGAATTCTGCAATCACAAACAATCATTTCTATGCCAAGAGCGCTCATTTTTTGTATCATTACCTTAAGAACATGGATGCAGTGGGAGCATACTTTTGACAGGGCTACAATGGGTTAAAAATTAAGTAGGAAATGCAATTAGTAACAGAAACAACTGGATCACTACTTGGTGCTTTTCGAGAAGAGATCCATGGCGCAGGGGGCTTCTTAGAAGTCTAATATTATAATTTAGAATCTCTAGCACGGGTTTCTTATTTAATATCACTACAATGAGAAAGAACAGTATGAAGGATAATCATCATGGCCATATATCCGTATTTTATAATTAAAACTTGCTTCTTTAATGGTATTCTGGTGTAGTGCACAGCCTGCTATCCATAAATCTGCCTGCTACAAACTGCAGCACACCCAACAGCTTGCCTGCATACCAGGGAGTGGCATTAACACAGCACACCTGCTTGGGTACACTTGCACTTTCATTATGACAATACTCTAATTTTCAGTGTCTTTCACATAATTTATAATGAAGGAAGCACTTTGAAGGCTATACGTGCAGTGGAAACACTTTGCATCGTATTCTACAACCATCCCATGGTCATTTCAATGGAAATATATTTAAATTTTCCATCTTTCCTATAAGCTCTGAATCTTCTACACCGAGCATTGGTAATTGTCCTCTGAATTCCCCAAGCAGATCTGGTCACATCAGACTACGCTGGGAGCTGGTGACAATTTTAAGAGCAAGCCACAGTATTATTGCACAGACAGGAAAAAGTAAAGGAAGAATACTTTCAATATTAACTATACAGATCTTAAAAACATAAATAAAAACATATAAAGAACGCTCAACACAGAGAGAGAACCCCCTGCCACTGCTTCATTAATCGGAAGATACATGTAACACAACGACAAATCCCTCTATTCCTTAAAATGATCACAAGTTGCAGTTGCTGCACGGTCTTCAGTTTCGTCAGAGGATATCTAGATACCTCCAAGGTTAAGAGTACAACCAAGACAGACCTGTGTTGCAAGAACTTGTACATATTTCCAAGAACTTGTACATATTTCCATTTATTTCAGGCTGCTCAAGTCATTTGGAGCATTGCTATTTGCTCTCCCCCAGCACAGCAGTATCGTGCCAGCCAGCAGCAGAGCAGAGTGACGTATTGCAGACATGAAACTGTCAGAGATTTCCAACTGCAACGCTGCTTAGCCTTAACCAGTATGAACAACGGCTCGACATCTGCATGTAGAAAGCAGGGAAAACAGTTCTTACGCTCACTTGAATTTAAGAGATCAAAGTTTTCAGCTTGATAATTGGAAAGTATAACTAGACAGTCCCCTAAGAGCTTAGCATCAAGGGATAATTACTGCTCATACTAATGAGTGCATGTACAAATTTTATAACGACAGCAGCATGCTATACTGTCACGCAGCCTGCAGTTCATCAGGAAATAGATACAATCACCTTCGGGCTGCCTGTTCGGAGCCCTGATTTTGCTCCAAACATCCGCACTGTGGGTTGTATGATAAAAGCACGGGGGTGGCAGGCAGCCCTCTGCGCTCTGCAAGGAGTGCGAGGATGAGCAAGCGCACAGAACCTCCACAGGCAAACTGTTTGCTTGTACAGACCTAATCTAGAGGGTGTGCATCGCAGAAGCATTCTAAGAATCACCAAAGAAAACAAAAAGAGGAAAAGAGAGGCGGAAATAAACAAATAAATGCCAAAATCCCCTTTGGGAGGGGAAGGCGCGTGGCTTTCTGCTGTCAGGAAGAAGCTCGGGTGGCAGCAGAGCTCTTCACCGTCTTTCTGCTGCGATGGAAAACGCTGCGTTTCCAAATTCTGTGTTACAGAATAACCTTTTCAGTCACATTTAGCGGTAACAGATTGCAATTGTGCATGCTGAATTAAAAGCAAGAGGGCGATGCAATCCAGTTCCCTTACATCCTACGCAGGGCTATTTCCTAAACTTTGAGCTTTCAGAAAAGCCAACTTTATCTTCCGTTAATTTCCCTCCCGCTCGTATACTGCGACTCCCGGATTATCATTCTTTCTGGCAGAAGCCTTAGCAACGCGCCCATAAAGCACTTAGAAATATTTCTCGATCAATAATTCCTTGAAGGAACATCGATTTTGCTCCTCCAAGCTTCGTTTCCCGCCCTCGCGCGCTGCCTCGCACCCCTCAGCCCGTGCCGCAGCGGGCCGTCAGGCGGCCGCTCCTCAACTCCGAGAGACAACGCGCCGCCCCGCGCCCCTCCGCACCGCGGAGTGACCGCAGCGCTCCCCCCTCAGCCCAGAGCCGGGCTGCGGCCCCGGGGCCGAGCGGTACCCCCGCCGAGCGCCTTACCCGCCTGAGAGGCGCGGACGGCGGGGCCGGCTCCGGGCTTCCCGAGGACGGGAGCGAAGAGGCAGGCGAGGAGAAGAAGCAGGGGGCGGCCGCAGCGCAGCCCGGCTCTCGGCTCGGCCATGGCCCCGCCGCCTCCGAGCCCCGCGGCGGGCACGGGGCGCCGCTGCCGGCGGGAGGCGCTGGCCACGCCCCGCGCGGAGCGGCCGAGGGGCGCGAGGGGCGGGGGCCGCCGTGGCTGCCCGCCCTCACTCCCTCCCTCCCTCACAGCCTCCCTCAGGGCAGCGGCCCGGGCCGGTGCTCCGCAGCCCCGCTGGGGCTCGGGGGTGTCGGCTGTGCTCTCGGCTGTGCGGGAGGAGCGCTGCTGCTGAGGGGGAGCTCCGAGCCGGCGCTGTCTGACCGCTCTTCCATACGGAATTACAGTTTCTGAGTCAGAATGGTTTGGAACTTTTAGTCGCAATACAAATTAATTGATGCAAGCTGAAAAAAGACCTAAGATAATTCCACCTGCCGCGGGTAGCTAATGTATATAATAAAAGCCCCTTCCAGGACCTATTCTCAATACCCGGTAACCAGAAAGCTGTGTGAAGGGATAACTTTAAATGCATCAACTGTGAAATATCAGTGATTAGTGATATCTTTTCCTCAATGGCCGTAATGTTAATATACAGAGTGTGCACAGCATCGGCAGCACTGGAAGCAGCCGGCACGAAGCGAGCTGTGCTCACATGGAAGACACCGTGAAGATTTGTACATTTAGAGAGGAAAGGTGCGGGAGATGGGCTGAGCAGCTCTGCACAGCACTGCACAACGAGGAACCTCCTCCACTCCAAAAAAATGACCAGCATTTGTAGGTCCTGGAATGAGCCTTACTGAAAGTGGCAACGTATAACCACAACAGAATTCTCTCCTTCAAGTATTCATGCTGTACAAAAATGACGAGGCTATTATGTTCAACGACCAACACGGGCACTTCAGCATCAGACCCATGCTGAGTTGCTGAACTCTTGTATTTCTTATTGTCTGCCTGTCCTGCATCTGTGCTTGGGCTGCGTGTGTCACTGGGCTGTGAGTGACAGACATACTGCAGGGTGGAAGGAGGGCTGCTTACACAGGAGTTCCTCCCAGCACACAGCATCGATCGCAATGCTCTGCAGTAAGCATTCCTCAGATTGAGAATCTGGCTGCATGCTGCATGCCCTCCACCATCAAAACATCCAGCGTGTGGCTCTTATTGTGAAGTGCTCGGTGCACAGGCAATGGTCAGCACAAGATGGAGAATAAACGAAAGCCCAAAGCGTGGCACGGAAATCAAACAAGCAACCTTCCCAACAACCAAGCCCACCAATGTTGTATTCTTTCGTGTTGCAGTGGAGTTTGGATGTTTTCCGTGTGCTCCAAAAATTACTGGGCATTGCTTCAACTGGAATTACAAATCTATTGTTTGTGATGAGCGCTCCCCTACTGCACTGCACCTGCTGTTCCTGACCTAAGGTTACCACACAAAGTCTGTGTTTCTTTTATCAGCATATGAGCATGGTGGTAAACGCATCTCAGAGCCACGTTCAGTTAACAGAGCTAAACATAGCTGCCACTCCAAAGTGCAGGACGTAGCTAACTGGATTTATTACATAACCGTGAATTTGTTTGCAGCTGTGTCCCAGCCTGACCAAACAGATGCTGGAAGATATAAAAGGATTGAATTGTCTGCACTGCATGCCCAAACTTTGTCTAAATATTTTATGTAGATCATCTGGCAATTTTGCTGTATTATTACTGGTATAGAAAAGACTACTAAACAATAAACCTTTTTTTTTTTCTTCTCGTTTGGGCTTGGAGCAAAATGTTAATACTGACAGTAGCATGCTAAGCTTAATATTTATCACTGAGACTGAAACAGTTACAAGAGAACTGCCTGGGCCTCTCTCAGCAGGAGCTGACAGCTGAAGGTCTCCACTGAAGTATGTGAATCCCCAGCAAATTGGCTGATGGCAGCTTTTACTGGGCACTGTGGAGAGCTTTAACTGGAAAACCAAACGCCAAACTAATCACAGATAAAAACAGCAAACTGCGCTGTTCTCTTTGTAAAAAATCTTTTGAAAAACGTCTGAGAAGCTGAATTTTCTCCTGCTGAAAGCAGAGAGCTATAGAGCCACTGAAGGGTACTCAGTTCTCGCAGATGAAATATTCTAGCAGTTTTTCTTATTGTAATAGAAATGACTACAGTTAAAACCTGAAAACAAGGACAACTTTTAGTGCACAAAAGCTGTATAGGAAGCCTTCCTTGAAGAACATAGAAGACATTTAAAAAGTCCCTCAGTATTCTGAAGGTACATTTCTCTTTTGTGTGACGTACCTGAGCGCGTTAACACCATGGACTTGGATGTCTTGTATGCACTTGGATGTGTTATCAGTGCATCACATACAGCTCTGTGCCTTCCAAAACCGAGACATTAACATACGTGCAATCCTTATGAGTGAATATACTCGTACAACACAGTAGAGAACTATTATCCCCAGTTTTAAGAATCTGAACTGAAAGAATAAAGAAGTGGTTTGAGAACAAAAAAGAAGCAGCAGCCAAATTTAACACATCCTTTATCACCTTGTGTGCTTTTGTAAGTATGTAAAACAAAATAATGGGATGAGCAGGGACTTGCATCTGAAGTAACCTTCTGTGTTTCAGAGCGAAGTGTAAATCACACAGGTAACAGTCCTACAAGGTATCTGCTCTTCATTTGAAAAGAATTGTCATTAGAATTTGTTTATTTTTTCTTTGTTTAACTTTCATTATCTCTGAAGCTACCTAGAATAACAAAACACACGACCATTTATTAGGATAGCCTATTTGTGAGTACCTGTCCTGGCAAGCTCTATTCTGCATCCCAGTGAGACGTAAACTCTCCAGTCTTTAAGTTTACTAACATCATGTTGGGCAAACCATTGCAAGTAAATACTTTTACCTAATCTGAAAGATCTATCACCTTCCTTGAGACCACATGAAGTTCTGGTGTCAAAATAACACCTAATCCATGGCACTAACTAAATATCTGAAATACTAACGCAATACCTGGTAAACTCCATGCTAGCACCAAGCACACCCCAAATAATACATGAATTAAAAAAAAAACAGAAGAGGAATCAGCAAAGATAACTCAAATGCATCATCAGAAGTAATTATTTGGTGTTATGAGTTATGTGTAGCTACACAGCTTCACACAACACCTCCACGTGTAACGGAGTAGAGATCAGAAAATGTAAAACATCCCAGCTTTTAATTATTGCAGAATCTGAGAAGTTCCCCTTTCACCAGGGAATGAAGCAGTCAGGCAAAGAAATAGCATCGGTAATTCTTGAAACAAAGATCCACGTGTGCTTTTTACTTCTCTTCCTTAGAAACAGCAACATTTAAGAAACAATATCTTCATAAGTCTATAAACTACCTGGTAATACTTCTACTACTACACCAAGACTCCTTGTGTGAAGCGCACACATTGACGAACCCTGACGTAAATGCTGTAATGGATTTCTAGAAGACAGAAAGCATTGCTGGAGTCTGCTGTAATTTAAGTGATCTTTGACCAGTTGGAAAGAATCTCTGTGTCAGCACTGCTGCTTTTCAGGCATATTCCAAGCATTATGAAACAGCCATCATTATGGATATCAGTGATTCAGAAATCTGCAA